CTTTGATTGAGGGGGACAAATAAATCACAGGCCACCAGTCCCCAATTTTCTTGGGTACCACAAACAGCCTGGAATAAAAACCTGGAGAAAGGATGAGTGACAGGTTTGAAAGCATTCTGGATAGAAGATCTTGTACTGCCACAAACAGACATTGACTGGTGATAGGATCCCAAGGCAATGGAAAGGATTTAAGTAACTGAAACAAGGGAGGAGGGGAGAGGAAGTGGATGACAAGTCCCTCGGATAATAGCCGATTAATCCACAGATCTGTGATGAAATGTCGACAAAGGGGAATAAAATTGGTCAAGTGCCCACTAGTCCAGAACCCACTGTATAGTCACTGGTACTGTTGGTAACATGTCCATCTGCACCAAAAAAAAGGACAAGAGGAGGAACCTCTGGAGGTAGGAACAGCTAAGGGCTGGGAAGAAGCAGGACAGAAAACAGTAATAGGGGCTTCTCGAGGCTCTGAATGAGACAAATGATCCACCAAAGAAGAAAGGGTCGTTGTTGTCTCACTGATTCCACACACGATTCTAAAGTCTCAGAAATATTACCAAAAACTTACCACTGTAGAAAAGGAGCCATACACAAGTCCCAAAAATAAGTTGGTGGTAAATGAACCTGAGACAAAACGGTATCCCAACAACAGAGAAACCATGTGTGAAAGGAAAGAGCCAAAGAAGACAATGCCAACATGAAGGTAATTAGGGAGAAGCTATCCCCTGAAAAACCCTCAGGACCTTCGTGGATCAACCTCTGTTGGTAGGCAAGTAGCTTAGGAGAGTTAATAGGGTACAGGGAAGGGAGAAAAACTGGGCATGTGGTAAATGAACAAGATGATCAGGATCCATCCCCCACATGGGCAAAATCGATTCCAACAGTTGAGAATCAAGAAAATGACATTCAGACTGATAGTAGGCCTAAGCCCGTGGAGGGTGAGGCATGCTAGTACCATCAATCATATAAGAAACAAAATACTCTGCATGAACCCTAGTAACTGGGGAAGGGGGGAAATCAAATACTGAGAGGAGGGGATATCATGTAACAAAGAAAGAAGGGAATCACATGAAATTGGGGAAATGGATAAAACAAAATATACCTGAAAAATCATGTCTAAAAAAGTCATATTAGGCCTAGCTGATTACTCAGTAGGGGCCTGGGAAGACAACAGCAAAATCAGGAAAAAGGCTATCAAAATCCTCGTTGACCCAAATAGGTTTGGCATGTTCAGAAGCAATAGGGGCAACATCAAGAGAAGTAGGTTGACTCATATAACAATCAATCTCATGGCAGAGGAGAGCCGACAAGTTCATGAACAAGTTACCCTCACCTTTAGCCTGTATGAGTATGCTAGTAGAAAGTATTACCTCCAAAGTGGTAATTGGTACTTCAGAATTCATAGTGTAACAATAAATAATCAAACATAACAGTTTGATGAAGTAAAAAACTGAAAACTGGAAAATATAAGTTATCAGAAAATTGTTGAATTTTTGAAAAAAACAACAAGAACCTTGGAATTAATGTAAAAAAAAATGCACTAAGTTAAACAAAAAACATGACTGAAGAGCACAACAAAAAACATCTTAACACAAATACTACCAAACGAGAAATGATAGGTCAGTGGAATAGAATAGGAGTCACATACATCAGGAATGTGTGTCACACACCTAATGGTGGAGAGTTGTCACATGATGATTTGCATGTGAAATGCAGTTGAACCATTTGATTGTAAGGTACGTGAGAGCTCAAGGCTTGTGGCATATGAAAAAATATTTTGTATATAAAGGGCAGCACTGAATGAGAATAGCTATGAGAATAAGCAATGTACTGTATCGGAAAATTTAACCATGTGGAGGTTAGAATGAGGAATTGTATTGTGAATTTGTTATTTGCACATTAACAAAGTCACATATATATATGTATGGTCCGGAACCCATCGCGTAGTCACCGGTACTGTTGGCAACATGTCCATCTGCACATGTCCATCAGTGTGGAGACAGAGAGAGATATTTTAATAATCAATCACTACAGAAACCTTGTGACTAATGGGTTGTTCAAATTACCACACACTGAAACTATGATCCCCTAATAAAAATGTATAGTGTGTATGTCTTGTAGCAATGCCACATTGGACTATCTGCTGTGTATACTGAAGGGAATCCAACCCCTGATTTTTGTACTGTAAATCCGTAGACTTACTGCTGTTTCACAAAGAGACAAAAAATGTATATTTGATGTTTCTTTCCTACATGATCTAAACAAATTATTTCACAGAAAATAGCTGAAAACCTCCAAATCCATGAAATTATGAATTACATTGGGAAATTTCTAGCTAATTGTAACACCAATTCCAAGCTCCAATTCCCTTGGATCATAATGTATAAAAACTTTATGAAATCTGCCCATA